CCCCCGCCCCCGCCCCCTTCTGCCCACGATGGCTTCGGCCGGCCGTGCGCGCCTGCGAGCCCCTTGGGTCACCCCTTCCTGCACCTCAACCTCTCATGGTGCCCCGCCCATGCCCCTCGCCTTCCATTTCGCCCTTGCCCCCCCCCCAAAAAAAACCTCCCCTCAGCCGCTGCAGCACCCAGAGCTGTACGACAGGATCGCCGCGCGCACCCGCGCCTCTGGCAAGGGCGGCCGCCCGCGCGCGGTGCTGTTCGAGGGCCCCCCGGGTGAGCCGCGCGCCCTGGCGGGGCAGGTTCCCGTCGCCTCAACTCGTTATGCCCGCGCGGCCCTGCCGCTTCCCGGCTTGATGCGTCGTGTCGGGCTGTTTTTGCGTGTGTGTGTGTGTTTGCATGTATGTATGTGTGGTGTGTGGGGGGAGGGCGGGTCTTTGCCCTGGTGCGTTCTGGTGAGCTTTACTCTCACTCTCATCACAATGCTTGCGTGCGTCCCTGGTCAGGGGCATGCGCGCGCACACACACACACACACACACACACACACACACACACACACGCGCGCGCGCGCGCTCACGCGCCTACATACACACACACACATTTCTGGTCTCTATCAACCACAAACCACCCCCAAACCTCCCGAAGGCACTGGCAAGACCACCAGCGCGCGCGTGCTGTCCACCCAGGCGGCGGTGCCCCTCGTGTACATCCCACTGGAGGGTCTCATGGTGCGGCCCCCGTGCCTGTTGTTTCTTCATACATCACACTCGCGATCCTCATTCTGTTGTGATGTATGGATCGAAAGGACGCAAGGCTGAACCACAAATCAATTGAACCTTGCGGGTTGGGACTCCCGTTGGCATGGCGTCGTGGCGCCACTGACGACGCCATTCGCCCCAGCGGCGTTCGGGGTGCCATGCTGCTGTTTGCAGCGGCAGGGTTTCGCGCCTGCCTGTTCGTCTTCCCAACCTCTCCTCCCCTGTTCGCCCCGGCCCGCCCTCCTCCTTGTGCTCCGTGCCTCAGTCCAAATGGTATGGGGAGTCGGAGGGCAACCTGGCCAAGCTCTTCAAGGTGTGCGCGCGCGCGCGCATGCGTGTGTGTGTGTGTGTGAGTGTGTGTGTGAGTGTGTGTGTGTGTGTGTGTGTGTGTGTGTGTGTGTGTGTGTGTGTGTGTGTATG